CATGAAAGAAGGCTAAAAAATATTCAGTCCTGACGTTTCCAAGCAAACCGCAGCAAAGAAACCCTTTGTTTGGAGGTCTCCTGTTTCAAGACACGCTCCTATGTCCCATTTGGGTGGTTTTGAACGTCACCTTTTGGCCGTATCCATGGAGAGTGGGAAACCCCAAAAAAGCCACGGTGATCGTCCTTGACCCTAAAGCCCAAGAGAGGAAACCAGCTTGTCACTGGCGCCACTGGGCGCTCCAAGCAGAGAACACTTGGGCCAGACTTGGACCCCCCAAAAAGCCTGGGCAACGGCGAATCCCCCCCCAAAAAAAGAAGGCTCAACCCCCTCCCCCCCCCCAAAAAAAAAGAAAGAAAGAGAAGACATGGTCACCTCCTGGCAACCGCCACCCGTCCCGTTCCACGCCTTGCCGAGGCTCATGGGGCACACCTGGCCCGCCTCATTGTCACACGGCGACAAGGCCTGGCACAGTGATACCATCAGCGTGACTGGTTGACCCCAGACTCAGCAACCCACACCCATTAAGAGGTTGACAAGGGAGGTTGTTCATAGGGGGGTGTCAACCTGGGTGAAATGTGGGGAATCAGTCCGCTTTTGGAGGGGAACACCCCCAAAGTCATTAGCAGGGGTTGGTTCATCCGGGTCAACATCAACTGGGGCTAGTTGTCTTACCATGAGATCATGTAAGTGGGTTGAACATCTAGACAAGTAAGCAGCTCCCCCGCCAAGTAGTTGCCTCATGGCCGCGAAGAGATTGGGCCTAGAAAAAGGCGACTCTACCTGGAATTGTGCAAAATTAGTGTTGAAACAAGTACTCCTTGAACAGGTCATGGGAGACGTGGCATGGAAAAATGGTATGTTCCCAACAAAGATTGTGTTTCTTGTTTTAATGGTGTCAATCCGGAAAACAAGGGGAAAAACAAACTCCTACATTTGGAAAGTTCAGTGTGTTCCCCGCACAACATATGTGTCGCATAGTGTCACAAAACGGAAACAGGGAAACGGCCAATCAAGCACAACTTCTCTAAATCGTGGTCAAATCTGCACCAAACGGAAAACCTGAAGAGTCCTGCATTTCAGGATGGAAGCGCAAACCTGGGGGGGGGGGGCTAAAAAAACACACAGGGCGTTTTGGTTGCACGCCTCTAGGGACCCGCTGCCACGTGCGAGAGTGGAGCGGATTAAGGATACCCTTTTGGGGGTGGTTCAGTGGCCCACCAAACGGAACCCGGCCATTCGGATTCGGGCTACTCAATCAGCAAACGAACCCAAATGCCGGCACGACATTTGGATTGAAGGCACTCAAATCTCTGCCCCCACGGACACTTGGAGTCCTCCTTGTGGGGCGTCCAGGTGAATCTGTAGTGGAGCATGCTGCAGGCTCCAAAAAAGTACAAGCCCAACCCAAAGAAGTCGGCAGAGTCCCGCAAACCTCCCATCGCCATGGCCTCTGGTGGAAATGAGCAAGATGGGGATTAATGTCCGCCAGCATGTTGGGACAGGATTCCTTATCGGTTAAGACCCCAGAAATATGTTCAGTAGTGATAATTTCCTTTTAAAACCGACAAGGGAAAACAAACTTCTTAAGCAAGTGGAAGTTATTCTGAAACCTGGAATGACAATTCCCGTACAATGTTGACCCCATATTGATCAACCCAGCTTATGAATTAGGGCGTCCCTGGTTTGAGTGGGGAATCATCGCTTTGGGAGGGGCCCCCACCCTATCAATAAACTGGGGTTGATTCCTTTGGGGTCAACATTAAATGCCGACAAACCATGGTTTAGCATGGTTTCAAAGTCTAGGTCCTCCAGTAGAGAGGTTAGAATAAGGGTACCCAGCGGAACCGAATCTCCCAACCACAAAAGGGGTGAGAGGTCGGGCACCTTGGGGGACCTAGATAAGTGGTGGCATGGATTTCGTCGCCATCAGCCCTTCCCCGATGCCTCCGCCCGCAGAAGGGCGAAGGCCCAGAGGCTTCGCCGCCACATGGCCCTGACGACATGAAACCGTCAGGCGAAGTTTGGTGGGTTGCAACTGAAGTGATGCGGTGATGTGTGTTTTTGAAAGGGGTACCCTTTGTTTGTGGGGGGTGTTTTTTTTTGGAGAAACACCCATTTGCAGGGGAGTATAAGAAGTATAAAAGCGCTGGACACGGTCCCAAGAAACCAAACACAAACTCCTTGTGTTCCGTTTGATCCAAGGGAGATTGCTCGACGAAGTAAGAGGATGTGTTTTAAAATGGATAACAACATATGCACCCCTGCCTCTTGCCATACCCGGTGCCCCACCGCGGCTCCTACAAGTGCTGGCTTGTATGCAACCAGGGTGGCAAGATTGGACATTTGTGGTAAGATGGCCATCCATGCCATGCACATTCCAGGCCGGGCACTGCCCGAAGATGGACACAACATCAAAAGATGGGAACTATCCCAAGCTTCCCCAAGATTAGACAGAAACAGCCAAAATATGACAAGAATATATGTTGCGTTCGTTGTTCCCTAATTGTGGCATCGAAGTAAACAAATGCCACGATTCGCTGCAAGCCATTGTGTCCCGTTTATTGATGACAGGCGCGGTCCAGTCACACGTACCAAGTCTGACATGGCTGGGACTCACCCCGTGAATTGTTCAAGGGTGGGATGGCCCTATGTGCAAGGGAATGGACATGGAGCTTGGTTGCAACCCCATCTTACTCGTGATTTGAGGGTGCCCTCCAAGCTAGCCCCTTTAGAGGATGCATCTCTCTGGTTCCTCGTATATCCGTTTGCAGCTTAGCAGCGGCCTCCGTCTCCATTTCTTCAGATTCAGAAAATGGACTCAACCCCAGGAAAGATTTGCGGCTCCGAGAACAATGTGCGAAGGGACTGAAGTTTTACGTGCACAAGCAGCCAAGCATGCTCCCGCAAAACACGGGAAAACAACCCACGGTTCCGAGGAAACCGGTGGTTTTCTCCGCTCAGAACAAGCCGCAGGCTCCTAGGGGAGGGACTCAACTGTTAGATCCATTCAAACCACCCCCAAACAAATCCGAGTCCCTCCGAGAAAAAAAATCGGGTGGCCTGGATGGGTGGAGATATTAGGCGCTGATGGCCAATTTCTCTAGAACCAGGGCCTGGGATGGGGTGATCTCCCATGTCCTCCACAACCAGACCCTCAAAACCAAATCCAAACCAACCCAAGCCAAACGAAGGCCTGACGAAAGCCATACATGTTGGGCCTGTGACTCCAAGCCGTACCCATCCCGCCGGCTCACCTCGAAAAACCGGGCACCTCCGACACAAAACCGGCCCGCTGATAAGGCAACAGCTGCGGCAACATCAAGCAGCATTCATGCGATCCAACAGCTGACCCCCATTTCGAGGGTAAGCGTGGATAGACATTCCATACATGGTGTTTGGGGCTTCAGCCCAGGACATGTACCGCAATCGCTTAGGGTGGCGAGCTCAAAATGGGACCCTAAGAAACGGGGCTCATAGGCGTCGGGCCTCTAAGAACTGAACATCTCAGGGTCGATGGACGAATGTGAGAGTGTCCTCTTGGAACCTCACAAACAAAAGTCGAGCTCTTTAGTCTTCCCATTTTCGCGAGGCCAAAAGGGAAATTTCGACCCTGGGTCATGTGGGTGTCCAACATGTCCGTCGGAGTGTATGATGTATGCACATGTTATCCAAGTGTCTGATGACTTGTGACGAGTGTGATGCAGATTGCCCAGTGGGGGCTGGGTTGGATTGTGACATCAATCAGTACTTTACAGGCTCTCAAAGTGTGCGAGTTAGCAAATGTTTGCAGCACATACGGAATCCATAGCAGCGTCAACAACTTCTTGAATGCTATTGGGTTGGATCAGCTTTAACCTTTGCTTGAACAAAACACATGTTTTGTTCTCACCAACCCACAACAAGTTCAACGTTCTGGGGCAGAGGGCAATAGCCATCGCCTACTGGGCATCGATTGCCCCCCCCCCCCCCGTTTGCCTTCTGCATTCTGCGCAGAATACTTGCCGTTCAGTTTCTATGAGGAAAGGGCTTCCTGATGTCGAATCCTGAAGTGAGAGAGACCTGCTGAACCTTTACGAAGGGCACACTGGAGATGGACTGCAAGCCTTCAATAAAGACTTCAATAGGAGGTGAGGAGTCCATGAACAAATGGTGCGTTGTGGAACCGTCATTCGAAGAACGCCAGCTCAGTCACACCTGCCAAAAAGAAGCATATATAAGCATACATGTTTCTTTTTCTTTGCCCACTTCCCCATGCAAGCTACTGCCGTACCTTTTAATTTCGATTCCTAACCACTATTGCGCCGGTCTGTCCCTTTGCAACATCAGCTTCCGTAATATAAGATTGTCGTGTTGGCATGAGTGGCAAGTATATAAGCAGAGAATGAAGAAGCTTCCGAAAATATGGCCTGAAAGCCAACAAGTCTGAACCAACTCTGAACCAAATGCAGACAGGCCAGTACGCAGCAAGACAATGCCATCAGACATTCCGAAGTCATCTGCTTGAGAATGGCCATCCATCCAAGAAACCGTTTTATGGCAGCCAGCTTGAGAAGAATCCCCAACGGAACTCGCAAGTTCTATGTTGGGACCACCTCTGGTGTATTTTGTCGGTTTTCTTCTTCGAAACTTCAGAGCCTCCAAGACCCCTTCCATCGGGGGGGGGCAGCATGTCATAGACCATCAAATGGTTTGACCAAAACACACACGGATGTGTTGGCCAACTCAGGGGTACAAACAATATGCTCACATTCTGGCTCATAGTCAGCTAACCTTATATATATGTACATATGCATACACGGTCACCAAGTCTTCCATCCACCACTCTGGGCGTGGATCCAGAACTCTAGGCGTGGATCATGGGGGGGGGGGGTGAGCCTACATGTGTATATATCTATATAAATATATACATATATATATATATTAATGTGTGTATAGTTTCACTAGCCACACACACACGCAGCAGCAGCGTCCGGATTCCCCCGATCCCTTCCGTCCGCCTCGTGGAAGCCAGGCGCCTCGCTGGCGTAGAGCTTGCTGGCGTCCCCGTGGGCGCGAAAGGCGTCCTCCACCTGACGCGTGGCGCAGCCTTCGGGTCGGAAATGGCGGGGCGCCGCGGCATGTGCGGGTTTTGGGGTTTGGGGTGTTGGGGATTTGGGTGAAGAAGAAACGGGTTTAGGCTGGGTTTTGGGTTTAGGGTTTAGGGTTTAGGGTTTTGGGTTTGTGGGTTTAGGGTGAATAAGAAAAAAACAAACCTCATAGACGCCAGGAACCCGAATGCCAAAGACGGCCTTGGGAATGCGCATGTCGTGAACTCGAGCAATGTCCAGCTGGAGCCATGCTTAAAGAACGAAACATCTCAAAAACTTGGAGTGTCTGGGAGTCTGGGAAGGGGGGTCTGGCTTGGCCTTCCAGAGATCCACTCGCCCTCGCGCGCGATTCCCGATTGCCACGTGGCTCAAGCGTTTTTTGTATCCCACCTCGGGGGTTCACCATGGACACTGAGAGTACATGTTGCAGCCAGGAGCCCTAAAAAAACAATACGCGGTATAAGAAGGCTGCAAAATAGACCCGTGTCCATCATGAGGGGAACGGACCGTCACTTCCTGGTTGAAATCTGAATTGAGCAGCGCTCTAAGATGAGGTTTATAGAGGCCTTACCATAAACCATAGGAAGCCAGGTACCATGGGAACAACTGGAGTAACTTGGGGTTAGTCCCCTTGTAACCATGGTGAGATCCCTAGGCCTCTCTCGGAACATGAAAGCAAGGCCCAGCTGAGTCTCCTGTAGCTACGACTTTCAGGCTCTTTTTGGGCTGAGGCAACCAACCCAGAACCCACTTCCGCTTGGCCAAAACGAACGATTTTTTGTTTTTGCGGGGCGGGGGCCTCTCACCCCCAACAAAACCTGTTTTTGTTTCTGCCCCCCCCCCCCCCCCGCCACACCCCCCCCCCCCAAAGAAAAAAAAGGCCACACGCAACCCTCCCAAAGAAACCAAACAAAAACCACTCCGCCCTCGCAGGTTCTTGGCTCACCGCCCCCACAGATTTTTCGCCGACCTCGGCGAAGCCCTCGCGGCCCCCGAGGATGGGGAAGCAGTCGTGGGAGGTGAGGATCACCGCCTCCAACCGACTCAAAGGCGAGCTACCCCCGATGTGGCGGATCAAAACTGCGTAGCCAAAACTACCAGGGCACCCTGGGAAATGTGTAGCCAAAGACTAGCCGCGGTCCCCTGGTAGTTTTATCTTGACCCGTACCCATGTCGAGGTATGACCGTGTCCCTGATTGAGCCAAAGGGGCTTGCCGTCAGCTCTTGGGCAGAGGAACACTGATCCCCGTCCAATTGCTGAAGCCCCGTGGAACAAATCAAACAAACATATGTCCAGTAATGATAGATTCCTGGGTGAATTGTAGTATTTCACCAACCTGACATTCTTGGTGATTGGGGGGCAATTCCCCACATAAACCACAATTTGGGGTGAGGTCGTGTGAGGTCGCTATAATTCACCCAGAACCGTGGTATGCGCATTACTTGCTGCTGCAAGAGGGGAATGAGAAATTGGGAAGACCCTGAGATGCTATGGTTTCCTTTAAGGGGACCCCTGGGTTCATTCCCACATTCCCTACTGAGCACAAGCAAGAATATGTATATCCATGGCACCGTGGTATTTATCCAACACCAGAGCTTGGGGTGTGTGTTCGGGGTTTGTGATGTGTTTTCTGCGCCCCTTCCCTTGAAAAGGCAGACGCGGTGAAACTCCATTGCTCGAAACTGGGAGATGCCGCATCTAGCCCTGGGCTGCCCTCAGATCCCCCGCGAAAAGTTGAACTGATAGTGGGTTCAATTCGGAAATCCAACCACTAAGCAATAAAAAGCTAAGAAGCTAAAAGCTAAAAAGCTAAGGAACCGGATGGCTGGCTTCGCCACCAAGAGCCTCCAGACCGGAAACTCTTTTCGGCCTTCCCATCCGAGGCCCGCGCCGTGGCTTTGGGCGCCCTCGCCCTGAGCATGTCCGGCTTGTCGATGCCATGCCTTGATAGAAGTCGGTCCGGCACCTTGAAAGGGCCATCCCGGAAATTTCAGGGATCACCCGGGCCTAAAAAAATGCAACCGGGTGTGTCTTGCTGAACAAGTCCCAAAATGATGGTCTTCCTCTTATTTTCCCTCTAAAACCGGAAAGACGCACACATAGTTGGGAGCACTTCAAAAAGTGACCGGCAACCAGGGGAGCGCCCTGGTGCTCTTTGATTCGTGGGACCATCTGAATCGGAGCGTGTGCTTGGGACTCTTTGAAGCCTACCGATGTGGGCAAATTCGAGTGGGCGTGGTTGATGTTCCCCTAGATACGGCTATGAATCTGAATAAGGGACCCTTCGGTGGACATCGTTTAGGTGGGGATTCATGTCCACCAATCACTTTTGAGGTGGCTCCTTATTAAAATTCATGCCATATCGAAACAGTTGGAGTACTTGAAGCGAAGGTGGGATCCAAACTTGAGCAGCACACGACAGAAGACGACTGGGCTTCGGCCAAATCTGGCCCCAATTGGAAAAATGTACAGTAACCCATCGCCTGACTGTCGCCTGCAGGGCTTGTTTTGGGGGAACTCAAATTATGTGATATTGACCACTCTGTCAAGCTCATCCTGATTCTCTTTTGAGTTGACGACTACCTCAAATGGAGCTTTCTCAAAACTCATGATCCCCATACTGGGGTTTTAAGAAACACCAAAAAGGACACCAACCATATTTAGGGGTCCACAAACCACTTGCTTGAGGCCCAGCCGCGGGGAGGCACGGCACCTACGGCCCTTCGCGGCGTGGCTGGGTCTGATTTCTTCAGAAGCCCAGAAAGGGTCAAGCAAAGATTCCTCTAGTGAAGGTGTTGGGGGTCTGTGAAAATCTTCAGGGGGCTCCCAACGGGCCAATCTCCGAGGGCATGGCTTCGCCATGCCCCAGATGATCTGCTCCGCATCGTAGTTGCCTGACGCGTTGGGGGGGGGGGGGGCCTTTTTCAAGTGAATGAAGTCTCAAGTGAGCCGCAGTCGAAAACTACGTGGTTTTCCACAGGACTACGCGTTTGTGGGAGAACTGGGGCGCTCTGCTCCCTGCTCCCTCCCTGCTGTTTCTCGGGAGTTCATCCGAAAGCGATCATGATGCGGAAGCCAGAACCACTTGATCAAGGTCCTTGTGGCAGTTTCAAACTCTATGACCACAAGCAACACGGACCTTGGTGCATCTTGGCCCCATGCCCGTGGAGCTTAACAAGTTGCTCCCACATCACTATGGTTGGTAAGGATACACGCCCACGACGAGCATCTGACCACAGAAAACGAGGAACAAGCAAAAAGGCCCCAAGCGCTGTTGGTGGGGAAATGAACGGAAGGCTTTAACAAAAATGCCATCTGAAATATCTTTAGTCCTAAACCTCTCCTGTCTCAAGGTTTCCAGTGTGTGCGGCAAGCCTTTCAGAACCCAGTACCTTTTGAGCCAAATCCCGTACTGGGCATGGGGAAATTCGAGTTCGACCACACCGCCGGGCCCATTGTTGAGGCCCAACTGACCCGCTTTGGCTGACCAGTTGTTAGAGTTGAGGGAACTAACTCCAGATTCTCTCTTTCCCTCCCTCTCTCTCTCCCTTTTTTCCTATTTGGAAGCAACCCACGCGTCTGGGAAGCAAAGGGGAAGCTGGCGCCGGCACTCTCGCTCTCTGAGTCAGGTGCAGGTTCCCCGCTCCAGCTCGCGCCCTTGGAGGCAACCAAAAATGTCAACCCAGACCCAGCAGCCCTAACTGGGCCCTCAGATCCCCCGCGAAAAGTTGAACTGATAGTGGGTTCAATTCGGAAATCCAACCACTAAACACTAAAAAGCTAAAAAGCTAACAAGCTAAGGGACCGGATGGCTGGGAGCCACCAAGTTAAGGTTGCTCCCCTCTACAGAAGGTCTTTCCAAACAGCTGGCCCTACACGTGCAGTCCTAGTGCCTTCCATGTAGGTGATCTCACCATGGCGCTAAGGCTGGGACAACTGGGGGTTTTGAGGGCAGGGGTTCCCATGCAACCATGGGGAGATCACCTTCCGTACTTGCCGGAGCCCTGTAGATTCTGTCCTTGGGTTTGTCTCAAAGGATGACTGCAGGGAGAGCTATTCAGGATTTGGAACCTTTTTCGGCTCCGCTCTTTCAAAGCAACTGCCTTTCCTGGCGTCCAATACATTCAAAAGGTGGGTCAATGCAAGGACCGAACTCTGGACTTCTTTTCCCATTGGATAGTGGAACATGTACCTGCGATGTGTCATTGTTTGTCACTTCATTCCCTGTTCAACACATTGCAGCCTTTGAGTCGGAAACCCTTCGAAAGGATCTGAAACTGCGATATTTCCTTCCAAATGAGGTCTGCTAGAACCCCCTCCCTTTCTCGGTTTCCCGAAAAGGGCTCAAGCCGCATGCAGGTCAGCGGCTGGACCGTGCCCTTGGGTATCCATGCGGCTAGGCCTCAAAACAAGGCAACATACTGTGGATGGACAAAATCCTCGGCACCACCTAAGAAACCACGGTGAAACCATTGTTTGTTGGTCATTTGTTGGTATTTACAGGGAAATCCTCATTCGGCGCAGGAGTTCGTCCACAGTATGTCCTTTCCCGCACCATGTGCATTGGTGCCAACAATGCACACCTGTAACGTCCAGTTCCCATTTAAAACCAAGGTCTCCCCTGACTGTCCCTTTCCCCGAATGAACCAATCCAGTAATGCCTATGCTTCCTTCACGATCAGCTGGGTTTCAAGCAAGACAACGCCGATTGGGAAATGAGCCATAATCAACACCTGGCATGAAAATGGTCTACCCAAAACCATGTGTGGAATCGAAAGGGCGGATGTCCACACCTGTTTCTGGCTAGGATTTTCGCCCTCAACAGCTTTCATCATTTTTCGAATCAGTTTCATTCTGGCTCACTTGGGTCATACCCAACGCCAAAGGTATCAACACAGCTTGAAGGGAAAAGACCAAACAGCCTCCTTTCAGCAAAAAAAGTTTGCTGGACTTTATGTCCAACTCCCTTGCGCATGCACATCGCCCTGGACCAACCCTGGTGGACCATCAACCGGACATTGGGCTAAGGCGCCCAAAGTGGAGAAGTAGCAGGCCACCGCCTCGGGATCGAATCCACTCGAACCGCTGCTTCGTCGCTTCGCCGCTGAGCCAAAAGTGATGCCCCGTGGCCAGTGGCCAAACAGCCAGCATGTTTCCAACACAAGCCTTCTTAAAAAGCGCTGGACACTTGGACCCCTTTTTTTGCGAGTGGGCGGGGGGGAAGTGGCAAGAGGTGCCTCCTGCCAATTTCTTCAAAGACAAGCAAGGAGCATAGGCGTAGAATACAACATGTGTGTGTGTGTGTGTGCGTGTGAACGAATACCACCATTTCGCCAAACATCCCTATTGCACACATACCCCAATACATGTAGAAATCTCTATGAGCCATCTGCAACATTGCCATTGTACGTGGTGTACTGTTGATTCGTGGAGAACTTGACCTACCTACCCAATCAATGTTGCCAGGTCGACTTAGAGGGAAAGTGGCAAAATTGTCTGTAGCTCTTGGTCGACGCGACTCAGAATTTTCAGGTGAAAACGACAGCCAAATGCCCATGTGCTGAATGCTAACCAAATCATTGCAAGACTAAACAACAATTTTTGCCCTGTTGGCCTTTGGGGATTCCTTCGTTTCCCTTTCAACCCGCAAAAGATCATAACTGTTTGCAGCTCTCAGTGAATGGGCGCAAAGCAAGGGCCGATCAAAACATGCAGTTAGCGATCTGCTGGAAGGCTTACTTGTGGCAAAGGCTTGCTGCATCAAACGGTGACCCAACACATATTGGAAGGGCCAAGCCAATTCCCAGACCCTCATGAGCAATGGTCAAAACACCCTTTTACTTGAGGAATGGTCATGGACGCCTTTGTAGGGTATGTGGACAACCATCAGGATTCCCATTGACGGAAACATGAACACGCCCCACGCCCGCCGGAGCTTTCACCGTGGCTCAAAACATGGCGATCTGCTTCTTCCAGCTGGAGGAGATCTCGCGCAACGTCGATGGCTTTTGGTTCACTCAAATGCTGTAGTTGAATTTGTCGCTGAGTTACCCATCGCTTCCAGACCTTGGAACAACTTCTGCTTCAAGACAAGCCGCGGGCTAGCTTCGCACCGGGTTGAAGCCCCGCAAGTCCGGCTCCGTGGTGTTCGCGCAATTGGTCTCAAAGGTAGCATCTAGCACTAACAACTCAGGGTCCACAACCATCCCTAGCCACAAGCAAAGGGAACCACCTGTCAACTGCACATTCTTTGAGAACTCCTCATGCTCATTTCAAGGCAGTGAAAGAGGACGAACAGGTCCTCAACATAGGTGGCCTTTTAGAAAAATAGATGGCCTTGATAAATGGAATAAACCCCATCTAAGCCAGGGCCCTCTAATTTTCAAGCAAACCAACCAAAAAGGACACCTATGGCCCTCAACAGGGACCCACGCAAGGGGCTCGCTCACAGCTCAGCTTCGGCATCGGCATCCCGGCCGCAGCGGTCACGCGCTCGTCCACCGCGCCCAGGTAGGCGGTGAGGGTACCACCGCCTCGGTCGAGCGCCCTCCTAGACCCAGTGACTTTCTGTTCTTTTCTAGGCACGTTTCTGAGCATATATCTATACTCGGTTGCTTTCTGCTCCCCTGCGAAAAGTTTAACTTTTAATGGTTTAATGGAAAACCCATTAGTTGGTAAAAAGTTAAAGTCCTAACATCCCAGCAAAATGCACCAAAGTATAAATCCTTCTGCGGGTTCCCTATGAAACCAGGTAGCAGGACCACCTACAATGGCCAAAGCGGTTCGACGCCTTGGTGAAGTTTGAAGCCAACTTTTTGGGCCGGGCATCAAACAACGACCAGACAACTAAGCCAAACGGAACATGCAGCTGGAACAGACATGATTATCCAAGTACAGTTGTTGGAATGGTCTTCTAATGTCGACCCCGGATGAATATTGCCCCTTCATTTTGGGGGGCGAACCATGTTCAGTGGGTGTGCCTCACTTGTAGGCGATTGGTCAAGGGTAAGAATCCCACCCGGAAGGCCCGGAAGGCTTGGTAAACTGTGAGAAACACCCGTACAGGTGTGACTCTAAACCTTTGTGGGCATCTCTGCTGTACAGATGTTTCATGTAGTTCCCACTTGAAAGTCACAGCCGTAGCCACAACCCCCTGAAAAGAACGCAAAAAGGCACAAGCTGACCAAACTGGGCCAAACAAACAATATCATCAGAATAAACGCAACAGGCGCATTGAACTGTGTCAGTCCTTCAGGGGCATCTTGTTCCTATCAGCATACCAACCCCTCTGTATCTGCAATATGGTCCCTTCTGGACTTTTGTCGTGTCGCAGGCGGCGTGCCCCAACCCATGTCAGGCATCCCTGATTGCCCAAGTGCCTTCAAAACATCTTTATACACAACTCAGTCCATGCCAAAACCCAATAGTTGTGCAGTTTGCTTTGCTAGAATCCAACAATCAAAAATGCTATGTGTATATATATATATACAAGTAAAAACAACACTGGAAAACCAATTTGTGTCAACCAAAATATGTTCGGCCTTTGTCGTATTTACCAAAGACCAGCCATGGCAGCTCCAAACACTGGCGCAGGTCCCAAAAGACTTCGACAACTAGCCCTCTTATAGTTCCTTCACCGCTGATATCTTCAAAGGCAGCAAATGACCCCCCTGATACCCACCTGTCCCATCAATAAATGCCAAGGTTCATGCGTGTTTCAAGTGCAAAACGTTGCCCTCCCACACTTTCATCTTACTTTCAATGCGGCTACATGTTTGTGGGAACACTGTGCCGCTGTAGCAAGGCTGTTTTTTTGGAACGGAACCAACGGGAAAAAACCACACTTCGTCCGGGTCGTGCATTACAGGACACACCCGTAAATAGACCAGCCCCAAACGGGAAGTCTCTGTGAACCTTGCGCGGCGCCAGTTTCTCACCACCGGGGCGCAGGGCCGCTACACCCCACCACGCCGATGCGGGAGGAGTCTACGAACGGCAGCTCCTGAGGCGCTCCGATTCTTTGGGAGCTGGTTTGCTTGTCCCCAACAAAAGGTCGATCGCCCTTTGCTTGGTTGCTGAAACGACCCCGCTGCAAAAAGTGAATCACGTTTTGGGGGTTTGGTAGAAAATCCAACTTGATTTCCCAAAAGTTAAAGTCTAAAGATCCAACCCAATAGCAGTCAAGTTTGTAGGGTTCATGGAGAAGCCGTTGGTTTCCAAAAGGTTTAAGGGGCAATTGGGTCACAAGAAAGGCCGGCCATGTCAAAACCTGGTGTTTCGGGGGCCTACTTGGATGTTCAACCACTTCAAGCCACTCAGCACGCAAGTGAAAAGCCATGGTTACAAAGGAGCTAACCTCAGCTACCCTTCCTTGGCGCACATAGTACATAGAAAATCATATGTTGAAATTCTGAATCCACAAGCCTCCCCCTTTTGGGAGGAAAGTGACTTTTCAGCTGTCGGCTTGTCCCCACAGACGGGTGTGAGGGCAAGAGAACTTCTCATGTTGCACCTGCACGCTCGACAGGAATATGTTCAAAAGGGATATGCTGAAAGGAGAGATTGTGACATTGAGGCATATCCTCGGCATTGAGCCATGAAAAAAAGAAACCTACATCGGCAAAGCAGGGTCTTTCCAAGTTTTACCAGGTCTTTGGGAAGTTGAGCATTATCAAGGATGTGGACGGGTTTTGAGACTTTTTCCCTTCCTTGTTGCCCGGTACCCTGCCAGCGGTGGACTTGCGTCGGCTGACTGTTGGGCTGGCTCCCCACAGCGCATCTTGGACTAGATCACACGGCTGTCGGCCGCCCTTCAACTGGCGTCTTGGTGTTGCGCCCCTGGTCCCCCCTGCCCTTTTTCGCGCAGGCCAGCCTCGTCACAGTCTTTGGCGCGACGACTGAGGGGTCCTCAGGGCAATCTGGTGCGTTTCCTCGACGCTGCCTCCGGCTGGCGTCCATTGATCTTGGCACCCGCCTTTGGCGCCACGCCATCTCTCTTCTTTGTCTACTACCACATATAGATGGAGCCGCCCCGGCAGGGTTCATGCCACTTCTTTGGGCCATTGATGCGCCCGGACACAGCCTTCCTAGTACTACTACGGACCAATTTGCGCCACGCAGCTCACAATCTTTACTCCATCAACTCTGCTCTCCGGACTAAAGGCTTGGCCCTCTTGTTCTGACCTTGCCCGGCTGGCTTTCGCCTTCCCAAGGATGTTGATGACACGCCGCCTGGCTGTTGCTGCCTGTTTGATTTTGAAATTTGGGGAAGCCAGGGATGTAGACTCTTTCCAGTTAGGCGTTGCGCACTGTCAACCCTGGGCTTTGCGCTTTCTCACCTTCACCCGACCACTCCAGTCGCTCAACGAACTGTCTCGGCCACAGCGCTGAGAGACTCAAGACTCGCGCACCGCTTTGCTGCCGCCGAGCTTGCTCACCAATGACGGGTGAATGAATGTGTGCCCTTTACCCACGTGGCGAAGCTCTTCGAGGTCTCCTGGAGGATGTCCAAAGCGCGCTGGGCGTCCCCTCGGCCACAGGGGTCTCTTTTTCAGGTTGAGAAAAAAGAATGTGGGGCCCCCTCATTTTGGCACACACTTTGAGCCAGGGTCCATATTCACAGAGTTGGATTGCACTACTTTGACCACCACCTGTCTCCCAAGCGAACTCGGCAAGGCGACATCGGTGATGTCCCAAAAACACCCCGCAAAGGGATGTACCACTTCCTATGTGGAGATGCACTTGGACGTTCCAACCCAGTAAGGTTAAGTTATAGCCGTGGATAGAACCAGGGCAACTCAGGTGAGTTCCCTTCTAACAACGCTTATGGGATCATTTGCAGTCAAGTAAAGGGCATGACTAAACCAAAATGTGGGAATTTGGTGTCCACTTTCACCCTGGTATATTTTGCGCCCCCGCAAAAGCATTTTGCCTTTGCTCCACCGCACGGGCTGGGATCCGATCCAAATCCAACACATCCGCTGGTTATCGGTGGACAGGTGGAAGGGGGCTTAGAAAGTGCAAAGCGGCAGAATCCGCTCTCCTCACAGAGATTGGTTTTGGCTTGTCAGAGCAAGGGGGGGGGGGGGTTCTCTGGTGCAGAGAAGTGGACTTCCTGCGTGCTATATGCTTGCGAGGCACTGATCATGACTCGGTTGCTTTCTGCTCCCCTGCTAAAAGCTTATTAATTTTTCGTGGTTTCATGGAAAACCCATGAGTTGGCAAAAAGTTAAAGTCCCTAACATCCGAGCAAAATGCACCAAAGCAACCATACGAAGCCAGGTAGTAGAACGACTTGCTGAAATTAGTAGAACCACTTGCTGAAATGAGCAGCGTGGGTGTTGGGGCGCTGCTCATGTGCCCAAAGATGGATTTTCCCCCATCTAAACCGCCCTCTATTTGTTGAGCAAACCAAAAAGGACACCCATCACCATGATTCAGCGGCCCGCGAGCCAACTCGCCCGGGTCCCGGGCGCACGAAGAGCTCTTCCGCGCCGAGGCCCAGGAGCCAAAGCTGCTGGCCTTGCGCGGCGGCGGTTTGGGGGGTCTTAGGGGGGCAGCAAAGTTGGGGGGCGGTTTGAGGTTGCGGGGGGGTTTGGGAGGTTGGGGGGCTTTGGGGGTGTTTGGGGGGAGGTTTTGGGGTGGGGGGGGGGGGATTTTTGTGGGGAAACGGAGAAAAAGCCAGTTACTTGACTGTCAAGATCTATGTCGTTAAACCACTTTCATGAGTTTGACGAGCAATTTTGGGTGGGTCAGCAGATTGACATGAAGGTCCAAAACAAGACCCGCACGATGCTATCTTGAGCTTTGGCCTGTCAGTTTCGGACATCCCATGTGAATGTCCGTGATGTGAACAACTCGTTCAAAAAGACATGGCATGGAGGTTGGACTCTGAAGGCAAAGTTTCCCAAACTTGGCTTCGAAGCCTCTGGCATGGAGATCTGTGCCTTGAGAGTCCAACATTTGTTGAGGAGTCCTTCACATCTTCCCCTCGGCCCGAGAGCCGTGAGCCCCGCGCCAAAGTGGTTGTGAGCGAAGGAGCAGGGCGGGCCTTCCTCGAGTGAACAAGTCGACTGAAGCCAGTGCTCCCCTTGCAGTCTTCAGAAACAAGCACAACCAATGCGCACTTGGCCCATTCCCCCCCCCCAAAAAAAAAAGGCGGCCCGAAGTTCCGGGGGAGCATCCCTGAAACCATGGATCCAGTTCGAATCGCTCACTGTTGGGCCATGGGTTCGCCTCAAAAAAAATGGCTGCCCCTGCAGAGCGTTGCTTTGTACTCATGTCGGAGCGTGTGCTAGATATGCTAGAATCTCTGGCTGACAGTTGCCAATGGGAAGTTTGTACGGTCGCGCGTTGGAGTTCCGCAAGAATTCCTGGAAGCAGAACAGCGAATCGCAAAACATCACGGCAGCTGTGGAACTAACACTGCCGAGGAATAATTGTTCATTCAAAGGAAAGCTGCTTGGGCCGTTGTGGTACAAGCACCCGGCCCCTTTCGCAGTATCTTTAGCAAGGGTAGCCGTACAAGCCAGCTAAAAGCAGGTCAACAAGTCGGGCATGTGTTCAAAAGAAGATTAGGGCCCAAAGTGGCACAAGTTGGTTGAGAGCTTATTCACTTCTTCGTGTCAAGCCGTTCTCTCTTCAAAGGCCCTAGCGATCATCTATCCACTTGGAGGCAGACCGGGTGGCGTAGTCGCAGGAGAACACCAAGCCCCCAAACCCATTGGCGCTGGGTTGGGAAGCTGTTACAATGGCCAGAACTTGCGATCGGTGCGACCGGTAGGGAATCAGAAAGGGAATGAACCCAGGCTTTGGTCCCCTAACAAACTACAAGGGGATCTTTTTTGTAGGGGTCATTCCAATCCTCATTCCCTACCTATCGCACCGATCGCAAAAGAAAGGGAACCCAACAGTCCGCCGGGCGAACCCGGCGGCCAGTTCGCTGAGGCGACGACGCCCTTGCAGGGCGGCGGCTTGCCTGGGTCTGTGGCCAGGCACCGGGCTTGGGCGGTGTGGGCGGTGTGGGCGGTTTGGGCGGTTTGGGTGGGTTTGGCATACGGCGCGGCTTCCCAGGACCTTGGTCTTGGAATCCTTCGGCCAAGGGAGTTCACAAAATGGACCTATGTAAACACCTGTTGCTTGATAGGGTTGTAGGGGACCCCCCAGTTGGAGAAGCACCCACCTCACTCCTTGCGCTGCAAACAAACACGCAAAGATGTGGGCCCTTTTGGAAATCGCATGAGTCCTTGCACTCCCTTTCGAGCCCCACAACGGGTCGGGCACGTCTAACCCAAAAAAGAGGGCTGCGACTTATATAGAAACCAACTAGTCAACGAGGCCAAACCTCCCTTGAAGGCCCCTGTTCAGGTGTTCTTCGATTCTTTGTGGGGCGGAATCAACAAATCCCACCCTAACACAACAAAGGAGCCAAGCACTCAGTTGCACACATGCGCTTATCATCATGCCACAAATCTCTTTTGAAGACCTAATGGCGGTCCTTGCGGGTTTCTTTCGCGAAGATAGGGTGTCTTTCTTCAACTCAACGGAAAAGCTGGCCCTTCTGGGGTTCTACATGAGACAAACCCCATGGAAAGTCAAGGCGCGGCTCGGCAAAACAGCTTTTACCTCGTGGCAAAGACGCCAAGTCTTCAACTCAGCACTCCCTAACGCTGCAAACCCGCGGCCGCAGAATCTGTCGACCGGTCTTTTAAGGCACATATCATGCCATAAGCCTGGCTTCCAATTCTAGCCAGTGAACCTTGCCTGGCATCTGGGGGAAAAAAGTGTCCCCGAGAAAAAAACAAACATGAGGAACAACGGTATGGCTCAAACACAAAACAATGGAAAACAACACAAAAATGCCAGCCCGCCACTACTTCATGAGCAGTCAGCTGTCCGACAGCTATTCACCGAGTCAACACTGCGCGTCATGATCTGTCTGTGCGACGTCGAAAATTGGTGAGTTAAAAAAAAGAAGAAAAAACAAGAGAAAAAAAACGGATGTCCTACGGCAAAAGTCCTGTAATTGTATACTCATTTGGTGAGTCGACCCCCTGTAGTCCCCTTTGCCACAGTCGATGATGGTAAGGACTTTCCGTTGCTCATTCAACGACTTGATGAGGTTCGGGCCAGTGTCAAATACTTCGCTCAACCAAACATACAATCACGTTTGAGGAAGTGCAGTCACAAACAAAGTGAAGTTCAGCAAAGGGTCGCCTGCAAGGGCGATTGTATCGACGCGATTTGGGCATTGCCAAGAGTCTCTGCGGGCAGTGCAAGTAACATAAACTTCCTGTGGATGCAAAGGAGACCTGGGCAGCAAAACCTCCAAACACACCAATCTGTGAATCCCATCTACCCGCGCTTCAACTCGGTCAAAGGCCGGAGTCAATGCTCTGCTATGCTTTTTCGCTGTGAAAAGAATCCGATTCCTCGCTTCTCAGCCCGGCCGTGGACGTAGACCTTGCAAGGGCCATGCAGTTTGACTGCCATGGGTGCGGTCCCTTCTTAAGGCACTTTCTGCGGTTCCTTCAAAGGAACTCAAAGGGAATCCATGCATAGGACAATGGCTCATCCGCATCTGGCACCCGCTTGGATCCACGGAAAAAGCCTTGGGATCTATCCGGAGCGTGAAAAGCCAGCATCTGGTCGACTCCTGGGCTCAGTTGCTTGGCAGGGATACGCGTCAAGTTTTTCAGCCAACCTGAAAAGGGGCACACACGCACACCCATACGGCAAATTGCCGCCCATGGCGTTTCTGTGTTCCTTCGTGTGGGTTTTCAGGGTGTGGCAGAGCGATCCAAAACTTAGGTCAAATGCCTTGCGGGGGCTGCGGGTCGCCTGTGCCAAACCGAACCCTCAAGGCACTTCTCATCTGAGCGACATGCCAGAGTTCAATTGGATCGCCACGCTTGCATCCAAAGGATTTGGAACTGATTGAGAAACCATGTTGAGGCAAAAAAAAAAAAACACACCAAACTAGCAAACCAACAGGTCAATAGGGCGAGGTTTTAGACTGCCCCGCATGTCGCTTTGTCAACTGATTTTGAAGCTAAACCCCAAGCAAAGGACCTCCGAGCTTGGGCTCAGCCCATTGTGACCCACGATGCACTGGCCTTCTGCGCAAGACCTGGTGTGTCCCGTTTTTATATTGTCAACGCAAAAGTCTTAGACATAGGTGGCCTTTTGAAAAATAGATGGCCCTGACAAATGGAGAAAAAAACATCTAATCCAGGGCCCTCTATCTTTAAGCAAACCAACCAAAAAGGACACCTATAATCTTAGACCGTACCGGGCATCAAAGGCCAAGCCCTTGACTCATCTTTGCATCGCACGGCCGCCTCAACGAATCCTGTAGGGCTTCATCGTCATGCCTCGGCGCGTCGAGTTCGCGAGTTCCCCGAGCCCGTCGCAGCCCTTGACGATTGGTCCTGGCAACATGGTTAGAGCGGTTCAAGCCTTACAACCCGTATGAAACAGGTAGACTCACCTACTGAAACTAAGATTAAGTTACTCATTCGCCATGATCTTCGTATGAGGGTTGAGGTTGGCCTGTCATGTGAACCTGTGGTTTGGAGAGTTGAACCCTTGGCTCTTCTCTTTCTTACCCTCGGCTGAGAGATGCCAGAACTTCTTCTGAGGCGGCTCCGACAAAACCATCTGCTGCGCAAATGTCAGTGTCGAAAGCGTGGAGCACGGTCGTATGCGTGGACACGTGGCCCGCCAATGGTCTTTTCCCAGCTACACATACTTTGTGGTTTTCACATACCGATGTCTCCCGTCGCTTCAGGATTGTTGGTTTTGAGCGATGCTTCCGCCAAAAACAATGTCCGCAAAAAGTGTGAAGAACGGTCGTATGCATCGGCGTGCCAAACCTGGGTACCAGTGCATCGGAGCAGGCACGTTCCCAA